TCACATGGCGACCGTGGCCCAACCTGGCGCAATGGCGGCCCGCGGGCATAAAAAAAAGGGCATAAAGAAATAATTCAGAGAGAGAAATAACACAAATCACTTTTATATAGTCATATACAAACAATTTTCTTTAAAAATACCCATACCTTTTAAAAATATTTGTTTCAACACATTTTGCGATAGGACTGCGCAATTATTAAATTTATTATCACTCATATTAATTGATTAATCGCACAATCCGCTTTTAAGAGCTCGGCGCTAAAAATTAAATAAAAACCTATAATAAGGCTATTTCCACAATTTCTTCAGAATCACCTATAGTGTCTGAATGATTTACATTTACAACCTTGATAACATACTAGAGGTATTCTCCAAATCTTGCACAGCCTTTGCACGTAGCACGGATTGCATGGATTGCATAACTTGCAAACACACAACAACAAAATACATGAGAAATAATATTTCCTATCGCTGCAAAATATGCAACGTCGAAACCCATGTATATATTTAGCAAAATAGCATAGCAAGATAAATGCGACCCTGTGCTAGTTGTTTTGTTGTCGGAATTGCTACATATATCCCTCATTCCCCTCATCTCGCTCACTTCATTTTTTTTTTGCTGTCTCTTGTTATTGTATTTGATACATAATTTCGCTGCTTGCTACCGCTTTGCAATGGCGTGCTCTCGTACTCTTCGAAATTTGGAAAAGTCTTTTTGCATTTCGTGCAATCCGTGCATCGTGCAAAACTTCGAGAATACCCCTACTGTGTGATATTGGAAACGTTTTGCACCAGAAACTATTAGCCTTCATATAACACTTTATTCGAATTTACTTATATTTCCAAACATTTTATTGTCTGTGGTGGTTTTCACTTCGTAAGCAATTATTCAAAATTCTTCAGAGTCGGATGGAATGGTTCTGAGAAAAGTTATTCCATGGGAAAGTTAAAAGATTTAAATATTCAGTTTCCGCTTCTTTCCTTTCCTTAAAAGTCAAATAGTGAATTGGCAGGTCCTGAAACTCGCTCTCTGGGGATTCACACCCTTTTCTGGTGACAAAATCAAAACTTTTTTATATGTAAGTATTTAATTGACTAGGTAATCGTTTCAAACGTTCTTCGATTAGGGTTATAAAACATTTTTGACAGTCTTTTAATATGCTTCTTAAGTAAAGTTTATTACGCAGTTCATTAGCCTCTTCTATAAAATTATCGTGGAAAACTAAGTTTTGTATATTTTTATAATTTACGCGCAAATATCCAAAAAAATCGCCAAATTGGCGCGAAATTGCCAAATCTGGACACTCTGGTTAACACATCAAATTTCATGAGTACCTAGTACTCACGCCTTTTTTTATATTATTTATTTTTAAATATTTTCCTATAAAAATATAGTTCATTCTATAATAAATACCATACAAATTCACATTTCAAACTTTGTGCAAATATAAAAATTCAGCGAATTTTTTCTCAAAATTTTACACACTTTTTTGAAGAATTTTGGGAAAAGTTTTGCGTACGCAGTTTTATAGCCCATTCAATTTTAGTATAACAAAGTGCCAGTTACATATGCCTACAAAATAACGTTGATTGTTGGAATTTTTTTTACGGTGTCACTCATTTTCTTCCATGCAAAGTATGTTCGACAGTTTTTTATATATATATAACACTGTCGACAAAAAAAAATTGCCAAAAACCAACGGAAAATGTTTCGGTCTTATAATTATGCCACGTAGTGTACTATTAATTTGTTTGCCTTGTGTTTATAGCAACTTTGAATTGTTTTAGCTTCCCTTAACAATGTTAACTTATTCGTTATTTATGCGTTAAGCTAAATTTGAATCACATGTTTTGTTTTAATATGGAGAATTTGTCCTCCTGGAATGCTACGCATGAATAGCTTGATGTTACAAATTAATTGGAAGCTATTGCTATACAACTAAATTAATTATTATTATTTTTTTTTTGTTATAAGATTGACTATGCAGGGTGGCAATCACGATGAAGTAAATGTAATCTCCATGACCGAAAACTTGAATTCTAAATGCGATTTACGCAGTTTACTTTCAATGTAATATTTTTTTGTTTATTAATTAAATATGCATACTTATACTATAAGTATGCATATACAAATTTGTTATGAAATGTAGCTGTTTTAATATGTATATTTTTTCTCAGCAAAAAAAGATTTTGGTAACTTTTAGTATATAACATTTCTTAAGAGATTTTGTTAAAAAATTTGGTGGGCAACCATGGTGACAACATCAAGGCATACGCCACAAATCGGAAAAGAAGGTCGGCGAAATACCAACATATAGCGTAGTGCCTATCTATTAGAATTAGAACATGCAAATTCGTAAATGCCAGAATATTCACTAAAAATATATTTGATTTGACAGTTCACAGTAGGTTTGACGGCAGTTAAATTGTAAACGTGTGGCTCCAAATCCTCGAAATGGCTAGCAAGTAATTTATAATATTTGGATATATGGGTACCAAGTGAGCTACTTACAGTTTCCGTGGTTTTTTCTAATCGAATATCATTTTCCCACCAAGTTATGACAGCAGGTGGTCGACCTCCGGCACTTTGGCATAAAAGATCATATCGGTGGCCTGCAGAGAGCGGCTGGTGTGCACCAAGTAATCGAATACCCACGGGTGGAACTGTTGAATAAAAAAAAATAACAGTAATATACAAGTCTACATATTTACAAGTATATATTTATTTATATATTTTTTTGTTGATAACTTTATCCACGTTCAACGGATTAATAAATACAATGAGTTAACCCTTTCGGTGCACCTTTTTAGAATCATGCATTAAAAATCCCATTTTATTATTAAATGGCCCTTAATACTTTTTATAATAGCATTCAATTCACTTTTTTCCAAAATGTGATTCTAAAGTGTTTTTATAATGATGATATATGGCATCATTTGTACTAGATGGTGTAAAAAATACACAATGAAAATTTTTTAATATTGTATTTTATTTTATTAAAATTTATTTAATTCACACTAAATAAAATAAAATTACAAAACTTCAATAAAAGTACATATTTGTAAATTTTAATATTTATTTCAATAGCGCTATTGAGCTTTGTATCACGATTTGTTTGAAATGGAACAACAAAGTCTAAGCGGTAGGTTATATCAGCTATTTCGGAGATCACCACATCTCCTCATCAGACTTCTTTTTTCTAGACTTCAGCAGGGATCGAACCGCCATCGCCGATGTGCAAAATCAGAAGCACTAACCACCGAGCTGTGCACACCCCGTAATTTCTTGTTGACAATCCATTTTCTTATTCAACCTACTACTATTAGGGGCAGTTGATTCGCCGCTATTTAAACTTGACAGCGTGGTTGCTATTGTTAATTCCATACATAAAACAGATCCATTGTATAGTTTTAGGCAGTCTCATCCCAAACTATTTATTTATCAATTTTGTTCTGGCGTATTAATATTTATTTCAATAGTGCTCAATAAAGCTTTGTTCCACGATTTATTTTTTTTTAGGAAAAATTAGAAAAAATTAAGTCTAGGCAGTAGAAGTTGTAGCAGCTATTTCGGAGATCACGACATCTCCGCATCAGACTTCTTTTTTCTAGACTTTAGCAGGAATCGAACAGGCTTCATCAATGTGCAAAGTCAGAAGCGCTAACCACTGAGCTATGCACACCCCGTAACTCTTGTTGCTAATCCATTAAGTTATTCAACCTATTACTATCAAGTGCAGCTGATTCGCCGCTATTTGAGCTTGACAAAGTGGTTGTTATTGTTAATTCCATACATGAAATCCATTGTATAACTTTAGGAATGCTCATCCCGAACCATTTATTTGTCAATTTCGCTATGGCATATTAATATTTATTTCAATAGCGTTACTGCGCTTTGTGCTATGTTTACGGTGTGTGCGCATGTGATGATGAGGGTTCAATTCCTGCTCAAGTCTAGAAAAGAAGTCTGATGAGGAGAGGTGGTGATCTCTTTAATAGCAGCTGTAACTTGTACCGCTTTATCACAGCGCACGGCAGTGCGCCCGAGTGACGAAAGCAGCCACAGTAGCATGGTGAAATGGCTCGCTTATATATACACGAGATTTGGAAGTTTTTATCCAGACGTCCACTCGACATGTTTGAGACATCGTTGGAAAGGTCTTGAGAAGTGTGTCGAGAAAATGTAATTAAGTTTCATAAACGATTAACCGGATTCTTAAAAAATAGGCTAAAGTGTTGCGAAACAAAAAAACCTTTTTTTGCTTTTGCCGGTTTAAGGGGGTTGTGGGTACACCCAACATATTTAATGTTATTCTATAGGCCAATACCTTTCAAACGATACCTTATATATTAAGGTCCGGCTACTAGTTGGAAAGATATAGAGGTAAATGTGGTTTGGTTCGTGTCTCCACTACGAGATGCTATGGTATGTATGTGGCGTCTGTACGTACCTTCATTGAATTTTTTTTCAAACTTTCAGAAATTATAGTATAAAAAAACTAAGAAGGTTTTGTTCCAGGATGTTTTGATTCGTAGAAAATTTTTCAAACTACCACTGAGGCCCCAATACTAAGTCCANCCTTTTTCTGCTTTTGCCGGTTTAAGGGGGTTGTGGGTACACCCAACATATTTAATGTTATTCTATAGGCCAATACCTTTCAAACGATACCTTATATATTAAGGTCCGGCTACTAGTTGGAAAGATATAGAGGTAAATGTGGTTTGGTTCGTGTCTCCACTACGAGATGCTATGGTATGTATGTGGCGTCTGTACGTACCTTCATTGAATTTTTTTTCAAACTTTCAGAAATTATAGTATAAAAAAACTAAGAAGGTTTTGTTCCAGGATGTTTTGATTCGTAGAAAATTTTTCAAACTACCACTGAGGCCCCAATACTAAGTCCATGTCATTGAAGCGGACATCAGTAGAAGGGTCTTCAAACAAGCTTTCCAACGCTATCTTTTGTGTTTATAAGATACTAGCAGAGCACCCGACGTCGTTCGGGGTAAACAAATCAAAATATAAAACAGTAATACAAATATTCAGTTCAGCATAATTTAATGGAGGCAAACTATTTTCTTTGTTTACATTAAGGCATCATTAGGAGCCCTACTTTTGGCTTTATAGTGCTATAACTAATATATATTGATCATCACTTGTACTACAAATTTTGTTCCATTATTTATATTAAATGAATTAAGGTAACGATCAAATTTCCAAATAAAAATTATTCTACTACGGTACATTCTATTTCGCTGCCTATTTGATTAGCTGTCTTATTTAACTGCACATTTCTAGTAGAACGCTTAATTCGGAAGGAGTTTTATTTATTATGAACGAAACTTTTTCGTTTAACAGCATCGCGATATTAAAAAACGATTTAATCTTTCCATTTCAAAATAATCTAAACACGGTAAGGTTTCAAAAAAAAGAAAACACAGTTTTAAATATCCGAGTTATCTAATAGATAAATATATATATGTATATCCCCCTTTTACAAACTCATTTATATATACTTTACTCTGAACAACTCCAATAGATACCTATGTATGAATACCAAATTTCAAGTTCATGTGGCTTATGGTTCCCAATTTATGGCTGATTAAAAATTCCACGCCTACGGGATGTGCCACGCCCCCTTTTATAAACTCATTCATATATACCTTACTATAAGCACCTACCATAGATATGTTTGCATACCAAAGTTAAATTTCATGTGGTTTATGGTTTCGAAGTTATAGCTGATAAAAATTTTGTTGCCTATGGGATTTGCCACGCCATCTTTTACAAACTTATTTATATTCAACAATTTTTATTGAGCTCGAGGCCGTTTTTAATGAAAAACTTATTGTGGAAAAGCAACAATAATTTGAAAAAATGGTAGAAGTGATAGCTATTTCGGAAATCACCACATTTCCTCATCAGACTTCTTTCAGTAGGATTCGAACCGACGATCCCACTGACTCAGCCAGTTGCCTATGCACCGTGCTAAG